ATAAACGCCGCGAAACTGTACTAAAAGAATCTTTGCGTACAAAGCAGACCTGCCAAGTGTCACGCATTTGGCGTGAACCTTGCAATTTGAAGCCGAAACATATTTAACAAGACAATATGCACAACGTTGCAATTTGCAGTTACATGACAGAATGAACAGAGTGGATGTAAAGTTGTGTGCTTCAATTCTTGCGTGTAAATTGCCCGCGTGTAAATTGGACCTTTTATAATAGTTTAGCGGCCATTTTAGTTGTTTGCTTTCCAATTTGCGCAAAAGACGCATTCTCTAAAACGTTTTCAGGGCGTGGTCTTTGCCAATTAATAATCACCAATTGCAAATGAACAACAACTGTTTTTCTTTTACTGAACTAAGCATCCTTGTGTTAGCTAGCGAGCCTGAATTAGAAAAATAATCAGATTATCTGATGATGACATCATCATGATTGATGTACATATTGTTTCATCGTCATTGATGTACACAGCCAGAAACGCCACAGACTTTAGTGCTGCAAGTTGCGGATTCTACCGACCTGCTGCAAGTTGTCAACAAGTTGCAGCATGCTTGTTGAAGTCATCAACTTGCAGCAGCCTGTTGAAATCAGGCTTGCTGCAAGTTGACATTTGCAGACTTGATGCAAGTTGTTTCATCAACTTGCATCAATTCTGTGGACTCAAGTTTTGACAAGTTTGATGGAACAACTTGCAGCAAGTCTGATGAAGGCATCAATGTTGATGCAAGTTGAGAAAATCAGGGTTGCTGCATGCAAGTTGTTATCCGCAGGCTTGCTGCAAGTTGTTCAAACAATTTGCGGCAAGCTTGTGGATAACAAGTCTTGACAAGTCTGATAAAACAACTTGCAGCAAGTCTGTTGAAATCAGGCTTGTTGCAACTTGACATTTGCAGACTTGCTGCAAGTTGATAACATTTTATTTGACTTGTTCACAGACTTTGTTTATTATTTATCTATGAAAATTCGGCCGTGAAAAGCAGTTTCCTCATAGGCAGCCCACTAAACGACTGAATTTAAATTAAAACTGCAGTTCACAAATTAGCGACTGAATATATTGCTAAGTGTAGCTTATATTAATTAAATCGCCACCCGACTGCACTATCGACCAACTGACGTATAGTTATATACTGTAGTATACCTAAGCCTAAGGTTGGCAAGGTGTTTGAACTACACACATGCAAGATATATATTTTAAAAAGAAGAAAGAAAATAGCCCTAAAAACAATAGTGCAGTCGGGTGGCGATTTAATATAATCTACACTTAGGAATATATATCTCGCTAATTTGTGATTATTTTCGTTAATTTTAATATTTTCACTGCAGTTTTAATTTAAATTCAGTCGTTTAGTGGGCTGCCTATGGCCGGAGCAAGCGATGCGAACACATCCTGATATCAGCTTGATGATGGCAAGTTGAACTGATCAAGTCTGCAGCAGACCCGCTGCAACTTGCGCGTTTCTGGCTGTGTACATAAGTTTCATTCTGAGTAAGTGATACATAACTTTACATTCTGGGGGAAGCATGCAAAATTATTGCAGAACTATATATCCAAAACTGAAAAGCGGTTGTAAAATATTTTAGTTTATTTTTTGTAAAATATTAAATTTTATAAAAAATGTTCACAAGGCCAAGGGCCATGCACATATAGAAGCTCATTCAGTTGATGCCGTCGTGCTGGCTCGAGTTGTTTAAATTGTCTGTTATTTCTTACTCGTGGATCACATTATTGGAGAAATTTTATTTTTTAATCAAGTCCAGTTTTGAGTTTTTCGGCATTCAGTCGAATTTTGCATCTGTCCATGTTTTGTATTATGCCTGGATTACAGCCTCGTACCCAGGCGCAAATAACTAAAATAGGCACTCCCCAAGCGCGGGGGTGTTTGGGGAGGACTCGACGGGGTTCTCTAGCTTTGTTTCCCGCGTCCTCCCCAAGCACCTCCGCGCGCTTGGGGAGTGCCTATTTTAGTTATCTGATCTATATAAAAACACGGTAGTGTGCCTATTTTTAGTTGTTTGCGCCTGGGTACGAGGCTGCCTGGATTAACAAAGATGAGAATTGGTGAGTATATAATATATAATAGAGAGCTACGAGTACGACTTCAACTACGAGTTTCGTTGTTTGTACATGTTCGTCATCTTCTTAATTCCGCTATTACGTACGCACGTGACGCCACAATCTCGTAGTAGATGCTTGTTTCACTTCCAATCGAGACTTTTCAAAAATCTCGTTGTCAATTTGGTCACGGCTACGAGATTTATGAGGCGTCAGTACATAATGGCGTAAGAATATGGGGTATCCAAATAAACCAATCGCGTAGTCGTAGTTGTAGGAATATCTAAAGCTGCTCTCTAATATGGTCACAACTTCTGGTGAAGAAAAACTGGATTATGATATCAATCCCATAACCGTAATGGGTAAAGGCTATTAGCCAGTACCAGGTTTGCCAAGATGAGCTTGCAATGTGGATTTGCACCAATTAGGACCAAAACCACGTTTGGTACCAACAAATTTAGGCGGATAATTAAGCCGGCCTCTCTCAAGTAGATCCCCCGCTAATGTTAGGATGCTTAAATTATGTCTTTCATCCCTCCTGTTGCTGCCTTGAACATGGCCTCATGTTGTACAAAAATATCGATTCAGGCTAGATTCAGGATCGAGCAAAATTATATCTTAGTTATCATAAACCATTTACTGTATATACAAACCGTATTTCTATGATACAAAGTTACAAACACTGCGTTTCTCAAGTCCTTCACTACAGGTTATTCTGAATGCTGTATAGTGACAAGGAGGAGGCTATGTTTAGATGCACTGGCCACATTTTCCTGATCGAAATACCGCTGCTGTGTTTTTCGATTCATATATTTAGCTCTGGAAGTTTGGAACAATATTCACTATTGTCTATTGACCATTAGTATTTCAAAATTTGTTCAGCAAAATATGCTGATTTTATATATATCGTAAGAAAACTAAATGAATGAGTTCCAAAAAGAAGCCATTCAATGCATGGGCCAGCACTGTCAAGAATGTTGATTTTTCCAAATAAATGCAAACAAAGTGAAAACCGGTGCTAATGGTATAGGGATAGCCTTTCCTGCAACCTTCCCCAGCATAAAAAGGTCCCTGTGGTATTAAGTGAACGTGCTTGTCGAGTTTAATGATGTCCTATTCTTTGCAGGTAACAGCAGCCAATGGTAATCGAGCATTGACATTATTGGTTGCAGTAACGGCAACCACTATATCAGTCTTTACAGTTCCTGTTATGACTACATGGCTGATACCAGCATTTCAGACCGCTAGTGTTAGTTTCCTAACCATATTACCCAGCGTGATTCTGTTTATACTTTTGCCTTTGATTGTAAGTATCGCTATTTTAAACGTTTGCATGTGTATTCCGCGAATTATTTTTACGTTTATGTTATTTTGGTGAATTTGTCATTATTATTCATAATTAGATATTTATTATAATTAGATATTCATATATTTTTTGTGCTAAAACCGGTTATTTTACAAATTACCGCCACTGAAAACTCCTCTGTTTTCGAATTTTAATAAAATCAGTAAATTATTATGGTTTTTCATGGCAACAAAAACATGTTTGCAGAAATATAAATCCGGCTAACTGTGTAATGTAGGTCTTTGTTTAAATGTGTTGTAAACAAGCTTACTTATTAAAAAATGCAAGATAATCTCTTTTTGTGTGCCTGAATCTAGTTTAGAATTACTCCACTTTTCCATTCGGTTTTCATCACAATATTGGTATGATTATTTCTTCAGGTTGGACGACTTTTAAGATTCATTGGATTGGTAAAAAAGGTTGTTACCAAACTATATACATCTCTGAAGTTTGTTACTTCTGGGGCTTGTTATGTTTTGGGTGAAAATTAGTCAAGCAACAGCGAAAGGAGACCTTCAAAAATTTTCACCTTGGATGGTTGTGGCTGTCACAGCTCTTGGTACAGCTGTGATTACGTCATTTCTTGTTTTTACCTTCATATTTGCTTCTCTACTACGGCTACCTAAGAAATCAATCCTTGCTGTTACAGTGCTTTCATCAGCAAGAAATTCAAGTATAGCTATTGCTGTTATTGAAAATTTACCAGACAGTGTTGGGGACAAAGATCTCATGTTTTTCCCCATAATATTTGTCTATTTGGCTATGGTTGTTATTATCAATAGTTTTGGTTATTTTATGACAATCAAGAAAGAGGAAAATGACATTGAACAAGATAAGGACACCCTTGAAGACAAAGTTGATAGTGCAGACAAACTTACTTTAGTTGAAAATTCGTCAGTGGAACAGATAACTTCATATAACATACCAAATACATTGAACTGCATTACATTATCAACAGTACAGTGGTGTACTGCTGTATAAAGACGATCCTTAGATTTTATCCGTGTATCACTAATACTAGTATGTGCAGGGGAATACACGCTTCCGCCGGAAATCACGTCACCTTGGCTATATAGAACCTCGTTTTCATGATTGGGATGATAGGTCGCGTACGTCACGTACACGAAAAGGAGGCTCTCTAGCCAAACTGACGTACTTTCCGGAATGGTGTAATTCTATAATAATATTTCTAAGCTTACCAGAAAATTTTAACCAGAGTTTGTTTAGAGTGCATCATGAGTTGTTTTATTTAAATCGAGTGAAACCCTTGTCAAAGATATTTAAAACAGATTGAGCAGCATTAGAAGCAGATTTAGCAGGTTTCAGTACCCTTGCAACTCTATTCTGAAGTTTTTGAAATCTATTAGAAAGACTCGTACCCAGGGTACCCCATGGATAACTCCCATACGTTTGTTATGAATGCCTTAAATGCCAACACTCGTGCGTATTTATACTATGATTGACTGGGTGTGCGCTCTTCACATGCGTGAAAAGACCGGCACTGGCCTTCAAGTTTGTCTTCAAATTTTTCGGTTGGTGGTAGCGTTCCAGTTATATTAATTTCAATGGTTATAATAGACTCAAACATGTCCCAATTTCCCGCGATGCAACAGGTCTAGTTCCTGTTGACAAGCTAAGAATTTTTTTATGTAATCACAAATTACATACATATTTATCGCCTAAAATGGTAACAATTGCAATAATTGCAACTATAGGACCTTCGGCAGGAATCGAAATTAAAGCTTACATATTTACATTCAAACATAGAGAAATGGTCAAAAAAACATATACTATGAGCATAACTGAACAAATACACGAAGGAGATACACTAAGTAATAATATAAAATCATATAATTACTGTTTTTCGTGCGTACTTGTATACGAACGAAAAACGCTAAACTGGATGCAGCCGGCTTAAGAGTAGAATACGTTCCATAAAGTAAGTATGGAATAAGTTAAGGAACTTATTCTATACGTAACTTATTTCATAACTTATACATAACTTATTAACTTTAACAAGGACGTCGGAAGCGGGGGGGGGCAATAATTTCCATTTGTATAAGCAAAACACACAAAAGAACTAGAAAAGCCCCCCCCCCCCTCCCCCATAGTGATTTACTTCCGACGGCCTTGTTTATACTTTACGTAACTTTATATTCAACTTTTTCCACACTTAACTTCATACTTTACTTAGCTTTATACTTAACTTATTCCATACTTTATTTCACTAAACACTTAAGTTTTTCCATACATAAGTTAATCCCTTAACTGTGCACTGAACCGAATATATGAACATGCAAAGTCGGTTAGCCTCGAGCGACATGTACAGACGAACATGCGACTTGTCGAGAAAGAGTTAACTGGAATGCAGACTTCCGCGTTTTATCCCCAAATTCCGCGAATTATCTCCAAATTCCGTTTCCGCAATTCCGGATCCGCGTTTTATCGAGGAATATTTGATAACGACCGAATATGGAAGCGGAAATTTTCTGATCCGTTTGATCATGTCATATGTGCCGCTTTGAAAAAACTTCCCATATACTGCTTGCTATACGCGAGGTATGGTATAAAACTTCCCATATGTACTGCTTGCTACCTGAGGTATGGCATAAAACTTCCCACATACTGCTTGCGGAAACTTGAATATCTTCTAAACTTTTCGTTATTCTCTCAAAGCCAAAGGCCGTATATCGATTGAGTAAAATGCTCCTTGTATTCAAGCCCTTTCATGTGGAAAGTTTCGTTTGAATACAGTGAGTAGAAATGTTTATTTTGAATTTTTGTGATAGCCACTATGTCAGAGGCTTGCTTGATTGCTTAGTTGCTTTCTTAAATGTTTGTCTTGGACCATATTACGTCTATGTACGTCACACTCCCGCAACCTTTCCGGAGCAATGCAATTCAAATGCAAATTATCCGCGAATTAACTGAATTAGCTTTTCTACGTATGTTGTTTTGTTTACATACACTATGTTGCACTGAGCAGAGTAACTAGTGAAGGGCTGTACATTACCGTCCTCTGTGAAAACAAAATTGCTGTTGATCCAAAAGTTCGAACTGAAATCAAGAACTGAGAACAGAGAGGGCACTCCAACTTCGTATAAAACCACTGCATAAAATAGACGACAATTCACGTCTGAAACTCCATTTGAATGCACGTTCTCTTCATAAACTTGGCTTTTGAGGACGTTCGTAAACACATTTCTTGTCTTTCTAGCAGTTTTTACCGAAACACGATTTGTTCCTACAGAATCCAACGAATTATATACCATTAATGGATTTGAAAATATATATCTTTCGCATGCAATGACACGTAACGCTCACTCTGCTCCTGTAAATAACGTAGGACCTTATTATATATGGCACAGCAATATATACAACAAGGGACCAGGTGTCATTCCTTCCTGGATATCCTTATTCGCACAATATCAACGGCATCGAGCTCACAATAATTAAGATAACAAGCCATCCAGATTTAACAATCGTTACTATTTATCGTTCACCACAAATTTCAATTCAGCAATTGTGCGCGCATTGACAGAGATCTTGAAATTTCTGCCGGTAATGAAAGTGTGATAATTGGTGATCTAAACTGGCTAAATGTAACGGATAGAAGTAGTTTGTACAATGTGATGGTAAGAGACAATAATTATATCTAGTTAGTTACCTCCTTTACCACGGATAATAAAACTATTATTGACTACATCTTTTCAAAACTAGCCTGAAAACAGACCTGCGTATTCGTCCGCCCTAAAATTCGCGGGTCGACGGAAAGGGCGAAACATACAAGCTGCTCCATTTACAGTTCGGAGTGCTCCGGATTTTCGGAACACTAATGGACAGAAGACAGTTACATGACTGTTCTGAACTGTCCTGACTACCCCGATTTTCGAGTAGGGGCAGCCGGAACAGACACGTGACACTGCCTATTTTCACGTGATTGGAAATGGAGGCGACATATTTTATGTATCCAATGCATACTGCATAGAACCTTATTTTGAAGGGTTAACCGCTATATATCGACATATAATTATTATATGCTATTATACGCCAGGGTTGGGAAAAATCAACGAGTAAAAACGTTGCAAAAGCATACTTAGATATACAAATAACAGCAAATCATTATACTCTTTATTATTCGAATAACTAATTAATATAGTAATGCATGTTTTTAAGTTTAGATATAGGTAATGAGAACCATATTGGTGTCCTAGTAATAAATTTATGCCACAATAGTCCCTAAATGTTAGATAAAAAATGTGGTGTGAAATATGATAGTGTGATGGCCTCGTGTTGTTTGCACAATGTATGCTTGCGAAAAAATGTTGTATATGATAAACCTTAGAATAAAAAATAAAAAACCACTTGTATGTGTATAAATGTGAACCTAAGAAATATAAGTGTAGGTGTAGATTTTTTGAACATAAAATTGGAGATGCGTGTGTGAAATTGTAACGGTAAAATATCCTGTTGTGTAAAAAAATTTGATCAGACTCGAGGAATATGATCTCGCTGTACTAAAAAGCTTGTATGGAGGCATGTAAAATATATAAAGCGAGAGGAGATAGTCATGTATGTAAAATTCAGTATCTCTGTACGCGGCGTTTCGTCCTTCATGAAATCGTCAGCAGGGATTGGGGTTGGCACATGTGATAAGAAGGATAGAATATAGAAACCGATTTGGATTACAGAGTGAATAAACATAAAAATAGTAAAATGTGTGTATGATTATTGTGAAATAAATATAAAGTATAAAGTGTCTTACCAAATTCGCTGATATTTTTTGTCAAACGAACACGTTGGGCCATGATTGTAATCACCAAGGGATGTGGTATATAACTATAGCGTTTATATATAGAGCGTCTGTATGCAGCTGTATAAATTGCGTGTTTGGTCATACGCAGCGGGTGAGTAAGATGAACAGTACATGTGGGTGTTTAGGTTGTTGTCATATGGATTGTAGGGGTGTTGAGGGATTATTTTGGAAATTGTGTATACTGGGTTGTATCTGTTTACTTCATGTAATGATAGTGTTTGTTAGTGTTTGTGAACTTGTTATTTTATGTTGAGAGTGTTATTTAAAGTGTTGTGTCAGTAGTGTTTTGAGATGTTTTTTTGAGTCTTGGGGTAAAAAATGGTTGAGCCTGGGGAGGGGGTAGTGAACTGAGATAATGGACTTGAGTGTTTGTTTTATTGTTTAGGGATCGGATGTGTGTTATATTAATAGTTATAATATAGCATTTGTAAATTCTGAACGCTGATTGACTAAGAGCCGTGTTGATATAACTCAATGTCAACACGGGAAATTTTCCGCAGCTTGTAAACACGGAAATTTTTCTTATCCTTCGGGCTTTTGACATTGCTATATATTACAAAAAAAATATAAAACATTTTTTCCGTATTGATATATAGTTATATCAACACTCGTGGAAGTTGGGAAAACTCGAAATTGTATGAAAACACCCCGCCCTTCGGGCGTCGTGTTTCCATACAATTTCTCGTTTTCCCAATTCCACTCGTAATCAACACGGAAAATGTTTTATATTTGTTAACTGTAATGTGCAACAGGTTTGTGTGGTTGGCCATTGTTCAATGCATTTACTTAGTATTACTGTTGTATTGAGTTGCGAAGATTGGTCTGTTAGTTGCTTTATTTGCATTTTCTGTTTTGTTGAGTATGTCATTTTGCGTGTATATAGTAGGCCTAGTGCTTTGTTAAGTGATGTGATAATGTTGTCATGTTTGTGAATGAAGACAATAAGTATGCTGTCCAGTCTTTGCTGTAGTTTCTTGCTGTTGGTGGTGATGCGTATATATCGTAGTGCTTGGCTGTAGATAATAGAGTTTTTGCATGTTTGGCGGTAGGAGGAATTTTGATTCAGGAGTAGAGTTCTATCAGTTGGTTTGATAAATTATGTATACGTCTGATTTGAGTTTGTTGTTGGAATTAATGTAAATAGTTGTGGCAAGGAAGTTGACTGATTTTTATTTTTTATGAGTAATGGGTAGTCAAATTTAATTGTGGGATGGAAGTTGTTAATGTATGACACTGAGAATTTCTGGAGTTTTTCATTGTCATGGGTCCAAATTGCAAATGTGTCATCTATGAATATTATCCATTTAATTGGTATAAGACCCTGTGGTGCTTCGTTGAGAAGCTTCCGTTCCAATATTGCCATGAATATGTTTGCATAGGTAGGTGCCATAGATGATCCCATATCGGTACCATGAATTTGTAGAA